CTGCTGACTCTCGCGGCTCTGCGGTGTCCCTCCCGCCGCCCCTCCCCGCCCCGGTCTCTCCGTGGCTGCCTTTGTTGTCACTGCCACAGACGCCTCCGCCGCTGAAGTTGCCGTCGTGGCCGAAGCCGCCGTCGTCCCCGCCGCTGGGGTTCTTGCATTCTGGGGGTGCTGGGGAGAGTGCTGGAGTGGGTGCTAGAGCGGGTTCCCATTCTTGGGGTGCTGGCGTGGAGCTTCTTGGAGGGAGTCGTGCTGTCGCTGGAGGTTCTGGTGTTGGAGTCGGGTAGCAGTCGCAGCTGTCACCGCTGATGTCTGCTCTTCGCCTCCTCGGTCTTCCTTCCCCTGGATGCCTGCCAGTGCCTCCTCCGTCACCGCCGCCTCCTCCTCCGCCGGTCTACGACCCTGTGTTTCCTCCCCCGGACTCCTCTCTGGCTCGTTTCCCTCCCCGTTCTCCTCTGTCACCTGTGTCACCTCCCTCACTCCTGACCCGACTCCTCCATCTCACGTGTGGTCTCGTCGTCCCTCTCGTGCTCGTCCTACCTTCCCTGTTCCGCATTCTCACCCTATGTTGCTTCGCTCCCACGCGTCTCATGCTCCTCCCGTCCTCTCATCCGTCGTCGCTTGCTGTGGGCCCGTCCCCGTTCTCTGACTTCCTCCTTGCTCTCGTACCCTTGCTCCTCGTGTCCTTGCCTTTCTTGTTACCGACCTGTCCGTTCCTGTCTTCAGTGTGTCGGTTCTTGTCGCTGCTGTCACTGACTTCGCCGCTACCCGACGCCTTGACTACGCTACCGCTCTGGTCTCTGACCCTGCCTGCCCTCCGTCCGTCGGGGGTGTGGCTGCCCTTTGCAGTAACGTCCTAGAGGACAGACAGTTCGAGCTCGCTTTCATGTAAGAGGCCACTACCCATATCTGTTCCATGCTTGTAGTCCCTGAGGGTGACCCAGACGCCCTTGACATCCTGACCCCTCGCACCTACGCTCAGGCCACCTCGGGACCCTGGGCCTCTCACTGGATAGCTGCCATGGAGCAGGAGATGGCATCTTGGAGATCCACCGGTACCTTCGTCGATGCAGTTCCCCCACCTGGGGTGAACGTAGTCGATGGTCGATGGCTCTTCAAGGTGAAGCGCCCTCCTTGAGAGCCGCCTGTCTTCAAGGCGCACTACGTTGCTCGAGGCTTCAGTCAGCGTGATGGGGTGGACTTCTTTCAGACCTTCGCCGTGACCCCGAAGATGACTACTCTTCGGGTGCTGCTATACGTAGCAGCACAGCGTGACTACGAGTTGTACTCCCTCGACTTCTCCACAGCTTTCCTTCAGGGAAGTCTACATGAGCAGGTCTACCTGCGCCGCCCCTTCGGCTTCTCCAGTACGTTTCCCCCTAGTACCGAGTGACTCCTCTGGCGCCCCGTCTACGGCTTGCGACAGGCGCCCTATGAGTGGCACGACGCGCTGCGTGCTACACTTGCTGACTTGCAGTTCTTCCCTTTGTCTGCAGACCCCTCGCTCTTCGTCTGTTTCGGCCAGACTCCGTTCTACATCCTTGTCTACGTAGACGACTTGGTCTTTGCTACTACAGACAGAGACGCACTGGCCTCGGTGAAGGCCGAGCTGCTGAGGAGACACACCTACACTGACCTACGAGAGTTGCGCCGCTACCTTGGCTTGCAGATCTCCAGAGACAAAGCAGCGCACACCATCACTCTCTCATAGTCACACTTGGTGCGCCAGGTCCTTCAGAGGTTCGGCCTTCAGTTCTCTTCCGCATAGCCCACCCCTCTGCCAGTAGACCACAGACTCTCTGCCCCAGTCCCGGAGGAGGCTGTAGAGCCTAGTGGTCCGTACGCAAAGCTGGCGGATTGCCTCATGTACCAGATGACTTGCACTCGTCCAGATCTCGCATACCCTCTCAGCATCCTGGCTCACTTTGTGGCCCCCGGCAGACACCGACCACAGCACTGGTCGTCCGCTAGGAGGGTTTTGCGTTGTCTAGCAAGTGCATAAGGCCAGGGGCTAGTGCTAGGTGGACGCAAACCAGTGGTCCTTACCGGGCACACAGACGCTTCTTGGGCCGATGATGCCGAGACTCTCAGGTCCTCACCGGGCTACTGCTTTAGCCTTGGTGCAGGTGCCATCTCGTGGAGGTCCACTCGCTCCTCGTCTGCTGCCCAGTCTAGCTGTGAGGCTGAGATCTACGCCGGTGCCATGACGGCATAGGAGCTCCGTTAGCTCACCTTCTTGCTCACCGACTTAGGTGAGCGGCCTAGCTCTGCCCCTGTTCTGTACGCTAACAACAGGGCCATGATCCTCCTGTGTCAAGAGCCTAGACTCGAAGGAAGAGCGAAGCACATCCAGCTGCGGTACTTCCTCCTTTTGTGAGCTACAGCAGCATCGCCATGCCCGCGTAGTACACTTGGCCTCCGATGCCAATACAGCTGATATCTTTACGAAGGCGCTTGCGCCTAAAGATCATCAGCGGCAGTGTGTACAGCTAGGTCTCGTTCATGTAGCCTCTCATTTGCTAGGACCTTGATTGTGTACAGACCTTTATATATATTACCCTGACTGGCCTTGTGGCCTCTTCCCAGTGGATGGACTAGTAGTGCCACCCTGGTCTTGCTCTTGCCTTGTTAGTACTCGTTTGACTGGTCTTTAGACCCTTGCCTCAGAGGCTGGACTAGTAGTGCCACCCTGAGCTGCTTGTCTCTCACCAGGCACTGCCCCTATCCAGTCTAGGGGGTGTGTCAAACATATCCTTGTATGTTGTTATGGACTACACAGGGTTGTGCCTTAGAGAGTACAATCCACTAGGTTATATTCCCTTGTATGCCATGGTTCTAGTCATTCCTTAACTTTGATAGGTACCATCGGACGACCACCTGTGGCATGCACGTGCTAGTGACAGCAGTGACACGCCTGAGGAAAATGCCTGGATGGAGCGTTGTCTTGGGAGCACAGAATAGAGACCAATATGCATTGCATCTTGGTTTGAGGGGGAGATGCTTTTCTGTTGCATAGGCCAGCTGCGTCACACGGCTGTCGCATGGTTAATGAGAACCCCCCCCTTTCCATTTTCCCCACTTCGTGCCCGAACTGGGTTACCAAGTTTGTTTTGTGCGAGGAGTGTTTCGTTTCGCCACTCGACACGTTTAAAACTCTTCGAACCTTTAAGTTATTCTTTGCGCTTGCTTTAACAGATTGGAACAACAATGGAAGAGAGCCTACAATGCACCTAAAGGGCTCCAGCGGGATGTGTACCTACATGAGTTGAGCTGACTAGGGTATCCTAAAAAAAACTAGGAAAATTACTGCAGCAGACTGTCCACGAATTCATACTTTTATGGACAACACAACGAAGTTTTCCTTCTCCCATGGAATCCCTCGCTACTTTCGTGGACTCCGCGCATACTTCCATGGACACACGCAAAAATGCGGTAAATAGGGTAAGCAGAACTGTACAAGTGATAACGAGCAGAGAAACAAAAATGCAAAATTAAGAACTGCACAATGGGTTGCCAGCTGTTGGTGCAACCCTATGGCTTGCACTCGGCTTGTCGTCCTTGTTTGTGTGTGTGCATGCATGGCATGGAATGAATTGTGAGTCTATGTCATTGCTATCCAGTGCTTGTGTGTGTGTTTGAATGGTGTATCACAATGTGGTTTGTGTCGGTCAAGACATTAGCGAGTTTTTACAACTCGCATGTCAAGTCGTCGTTTGTGTGTCGCATGTGTTTTTTCTATTTTGTCGAGTGTGAAGTGTCCATCGTGTCGCAGGTGTGTGCAGCACGCCCCCATCAACTCAAGAAGAATTTATCTTGCAGATCCAGGAACAAGAGCTCAAGATTTCAAGCCCAAGGGACGCGGATAAATATTCAATAGTGAAAATAGTAACGTTACTTTGTGTAGTGTTACATTTCACTTGGTGTAGCCCCTTGGAGGGTTGGTTTCGAGACTCTTCATGGTTGGGGACCCTATGGTGGTGTACCACCAACCTGGACCTCGGCTCTTGGGGTATGTAGAGGCTGGGAACCATTTCCCTCTCGAACTCTTCTTGCTAAGTTTGTACTCCTAAGACTATAGTGGCTGCTATACCTCCTGCCAGTCAAACCGCCATAGCGTCGTCAAATCTTCATGGAATTTCATGATTCAACTTGCTGCTGATAGACGACAGCACCGCGCTCCAGATCCAATTTACAGATTACCGTTTAATTCAGTCACCAGATCGTTATCAATATTTGAAGCCGTCTGACGGAAATCCGACTGTGCTCTCTATCTCTCATTATAGGCACATCTAAGCCTATTGTGATTATAACAAGTGGTATCAGAGCCCCTTGGAGCTGTCTCGACCATGCCTAGGCCTGAGGAAGGGGGTGGCAGAGGTGTTGGAGGCAGAGAAGACGCCCAAGCACAAGGTCAACACCAAGATCCACCCGTTGCTCCGGTGCAACCTAGCCTTGGACCCTCTAGGGATGAGCCTAGAGTGTTTGGCCTTGACAAGTTCAACGGTGACAACTTTGCTGAGTGGTCCTTCAAGATGGAGAACATCTTTGACCATTATGATCTGCTGGAGGTGATGGAAGGAACGGAGAAGCGCCCCGAGAACGACCCGGAGAAGAGCCCGTGGGTGCGGAAGAGCGCACAAGGCTACCTTCTACTTGGGCAAGCGTTGGGGAGCAGCCAAATCCGTCACATCAAGCCTTTTCAGCGTGAACGAGCAAAGGGACCAAAGGCATGGGCTGCTCTCAAGGGTGTACACGCTCCTGCAACAGCGGCGGTGGCTGTGGTTTTGGAGCGGCAAATGGCGGCACTTCGAATTGACTAAGGCGAACCGGTGGAGGAAGGAGTGCAGAAATTCTTCGACTTGTTGACACGGCTCGAAGGAGCTGACCTGAACTACAGTGACCTTCAAAAGAAGACCAAGCTGCTGGCCTTACTTCCGGACTCATGGTCCTCGCTCATCATCAACCTTAATCGAGATCTGCCCCGTCTCTCACTCGAAGATGTGAAGCGGGAAATCTTACAAGAAGATTTCCGCCGTCGCGAATTGGCGGGTCCCGATGGTACCGGAGTTGCAAGCATGGGCCGTGGGCACGGCCGTGGAAGGGGCAGAGGGCAAGGAGGCAGATTTGGCAGCAGCAACTTCAATGGAGGCCGTGGTAAAGGAGGATATGGCAGCAACAACAATGGCTACGGGCGTGGGCGCGGTCGATTTGATGGCGAATGCCACTTTTGCCACAAGACCGGCCACATGAGGAGAGATTGCTTCAAACTACCTGATGGCTGGACCCCTTCTCAAGGCCAAGAGGGCAGAGGAGCAAGGGGAGGAAGAGGCAGAGGTCGTGGAGGCCGTGGTGGTTGTGGAAGCGAAGCGGCAAGCATGAAAGGTGGAGACTACGACAAGGACTCGAGTGAAGATCGATACCCGGGCCAATTCTTCTTTGTCTCCACGCAAGCGGCAGCTGCAGCAGGAGGTGTGGAAGGCTTTGAGGAGCCAGCTACTGTGGGAAAGGTCACCCTTCACTCTCTGGACTTTTGGGTGATCGATAGCGGCGCCACCTATAGCATGACACCTCGTGCGGACTTGCTCACCGAACTCGAACCGTCGCCGGTCAAGCATGTTACATCGGCTTTGGGGCAGCGAGCAGAGGTGAAAGGCATGGGCAAGGCCATGTTCAAGGGTGCTGATGGGAAGATGGTGGGCCTCAAGAACGTGCTTTTGGTGCCCAACCTAGCAGCCAACCTGATTTCCGTTCGGCGTTTGCAAAAGGCCGGCATGGACACATCTTCCAAGGGTTCGAAAACATATACCGCGAGGCTTGGTGAGCGGAAGCTTTGGGACCTTCATGAGGACAGGGACATCTACAATGAGATGTGGCAAATCCCAGTGGTCCCCATGCCTAAGGAGAGGCAAGTGGCAGCAAGCGTCAGCACCAAGAGTGAAGCGGTTGGTGGCGGTGATCACGGAAAACAAAGTAACACCAAGAGTGACTCGAAGGAGTGCAATCTTGGAGAGACCAGCAAGGCGTGTGAACCCAAGGAGAGTGGTGCAGCAGCCAAAGGTGGTGGAAAGGAGGAGGGGAAACCTAAGATCAGCAAAGCAGCAGCGGTGAAGGAGAAAGGAGAGAGCTTGTGGGGCACGATTGCGAGTGCCGCTTTCTCCAACCCGACTTCCGCTACGGGAGAGTGTGATTGGCTGACCTTGCATCGGCGAATGGGGCATGTGGCATTGCCCATTTTGCAGTAGATAGTTAAGCAAGAGATGGTCAGTGGGATACGTGTCAAGGGGGAGCCCAATGAGGTGCTTGGCTGTCCAACATGCATGCAAGCCAAGTTCACCCGCTACCCGTTCCATAGCTCGGAGACAACGGCGAAGGCACCACTTGATGAGGTGGTGATGGATGTGGTGGGCCCCTTGAAGCTTGGAGCTGCTGGAGCTGAGTACTTCCTCACCATTGTGGACGTCTACACTCGCATGACTTGGGTGTATGTGCTGCCGAAGAAGAGTGATGTAGCTGAAACGGTGAAGACCGATTGGTTGCCGATGGTGGAGCGGCAACAAGACCGACTTGTGAAGGCGATTCGCACTGACCGTGGGGGAGAGTTCCTGAGCAAGGACTTCTCAACTTGGCTGAAGAAGCAGGGCATAAGGCACTCTCTTACCATTCCCTACTCTCCTGCAATGAACGGCATCGCCGAGCGTGCGAATCGGACACTCACGGAGACGGCTCGGGGACTTCTCATTGAAGCCGGTCTTCCCAATTACTTTTGGCCGGATGCGGTGCGGCATGCTTGTGTGGCCAAGAACAGAGCCTTGACTCATGTGGGAGAAGACAAATGGGTGCCCTATGTGGAGTGGATTGGAAGGAAGCCGAAGGTGGATATGCTTCGGGTGTTCGGGTGCATGTGCATGGCACTTGTGCCTAAGAAACTTCGGCACAACAAGCTTGATGCCAAGGCAACATGGGCCGTGCACCTGGGCATGGCCCAAAACAGCAAGGGATGGCTTCTATGGGACCCATTTACGAAGAAGTTCCTGGTGAGCAGAGATTGCAAGTTCATGGAGAACTTACCGTACAAGGAGTGGAAGGCGGAGAACCAAGCGAAGATTGGTGTGCGGCTTGGAGAGGTGAAGAGGACCGGCTTGGAGCATGTGGAGCTGCCCTTGGAGCTGAGTAGCAGCAGCACAATCACAAGGCAATCTCCCCAAATGAATGGGGATGACGAGGAGGAGGAGGTGCAGCAAGGTAATGAGCGTGCACCGCCACTTCCGCCTCGTGCTACAAGTGCTCGCGGGAACCGACCGGACTTACCGCAAAGCCATGAGAGCATTCAAGTTCCAGCAGCAGAGGAGGAAGGAAGGGGGAGAAGGAGGACTCAGCCCCCCAGTAGGTTGAGCTATGAACGGCTTGGAGGACCAGCCAACTCAACCTTGACCGGTTCGGCTCTCATGCTAGGCGATGATGCGGAAGATGAAAGCGAGGAGTGCGGTTTTGCCTTCTTCTCTCCGGTGGAGATACCGGGGGAGCCTACAAATCCCAAAGAGGCTTGGGAGGGCCCCAATGGGAAGGAGTGGAAGAAGGCCTCAGATGAAGAAATGGGGAGCATCATCGAGAACGACACGTTTGACTTGGTGAACCTACCTCCGGGGCGGAAGGCGATCTCTTCCAAGTGGCTCTTCAAGCGCAAGACCGACGCCGACGGCAACATCGAGCGCTACAAGAGCAGACTTGTAGCCAAGGGGTATCAGCAGCAAGAGAAGAAGGACTACAATGAAGTGTATGCCCCTGTGGTGAAAGGATACAACCCTTCGAACTCTCTTTGCCGCGGCGGCCATCAAAGGATGGGTGGTGAAGCAAATGGATATAGTAACGGCCTTCCTCAACGGCGTTTTGGAGGAAGAGACCTACATGGAGCAGCCAGAGGGGTACAATGATGGGAGTGGCAGAGTGTGGAAGCTGAAGAAAGCACTCTATGGCCTCAAGCAAGCCCCTAGGCAATGGTACATCAAGCTGCGGGAAGTCTTGGAGGCGATCGGCTTCACTCCCTCAACGGCCGATCAATCCTTGTTCATGCTTGGCGAGGGGGAGCAGAGGAGATTCATGGTGGTTTATGTGGATGACATCCTCATATTCTAACCCTCCTCTGACCTTGTGAAGGAGGTGATGCTGAAGCTTCAAGACAAGTTCAAGTGCAAGACCCTTGGTGACGTCAACTACTACCTTGGGCTTCACATTGAGCGAGATGTGGAGAAGCGGTGGATGCGAGTGCATCAAAAGAAGTACTTGGAGGCCTTGGCTGCAAACTTTGGAAAGATTGAAGGTCATGTGGCTACTCCTCTTCCCTCAGGGTTCAAGTGTGTGAAAGGACCAGCGGAGGAAAGTGTTGGTGAAGAGGAGAGGCGGCGTTTTCACTCCTTGTTGGGCAGCCTCATGTATGCGGCCGTTCACACAAGGACGGATGCAGCCTTTGCTACCAGGCAGCTGGCTAGGGCTGTCCAATGCCCTAATGAAGAGCAGGTAGCTGCTGGAGAGAGGGTGGCCAAGTACCTTGGCCAAACAGCAACTGTTGGACTGCAATACTCCGCGGCGGCACAAAGGCGTCAAAAGGGGGCGGATGGAGTCGAACCCGGGAGGCTCTTTCTCACCGCCTTCTCTGATGCATCTTGGGCATCAGAACCAGAGGACATGACAAGTGTGGGAGGCTTCATCTGCTGTGTTGGTGGAGGCCCAACAGCTTGGGAGAGCAAGAAGCAAGTGGACCAAGCATTGAGCTCGGTGGAGTCCGAGTACATGGCACTCTTCCGTGCCATAAGAGAGGTTGTGTGGCAGCGGCGTTTGCTAGCTGAATTGGGGGAGGAGCAGCAAGGACCTACCCCACTCTACTCTGATAGCCACGGTGCTATTGCATTGGCTAAGAACCCGGTTCTTCATGGCCTTACCAAGCACATGAAGGTGAAGTGGCATTGGGTGAGGAGCATGGTAACCGCGGGTGAAGTGGAGTTGCACTACGTGAAGACGACGGCGCAGCCAGCTGATATGATGACCAAGAGGCTGGTTGAGCAGCAGCATTGGAAGTGTTGCAAGCTTGCTGGGATGGCTCTGAACTAAGGGGAGCAGATTCTAAGGCCAACAATCCGAGGGGGAGTTTGTTGGTGCAACCCTATGGCTTGCACTCGGCTTGTCGTCCTTGTTTGTGTGTGTGCATGCATGTCATGGAATGAATTGTGAGTCTATGTCATTGCTATCCAGTGCTTGTGTGTGTGTTTGAATGGTGTATCACAATGTGGTTTGTGTCGGTCAAGACATTAGCGAGTTTTTACAACTCGCATGTCAAGTCGTCGTATGTGTTTTTTCTATTTTGTCGAGTGTGAAGTGTCCATCGTGTCGCAGGTGTGTGCAGCAAGCCCCCATCAACTCAAGAAGAATTTATCTTGCAGATCCAGGAACAAGAGCTCAAGATTTCAAGCCCAAGGGACGCGGATAAATATTCAATAGTGAAAATAGTAACGTTACTTTGTGTAGTGTTACATTTCACTTGGTGTAGCCCCTTGGAGGGTTGGTTTCGAGACTCTTCATGGTTGGGGACCCTGTGGTGGTGTACCACCAACCTGGACCTCGGCTCTTGGGGTATGTAGAGGCTGGGAACCATTTCCCTCTCGAACTCTTCTTGCTAAGTTTGTACTCCTAAGACTATAGTGGCTGCTATACCTCCTGCCAGTCAAACCGCCATAGCGTCGTCAAATCTTCATGGAATTTCATGATTCAACTTGCTGCTGATAGACGACAGCACCGCGCTCCAGATCCAATTTACAGATTACCATTTGATTCAGTGACCAGATCGTTATCAATATTTGAAGCCGTCTGACGGAAATCCGACTGTGCTCTCTATCTCTCATTATAGGCACATCTAAGCCTATTGTGATTATAACACCAGCTACAGTTGCCGCAACCAATCAAGTCAGCTAGCTGTTGCACGTAAATCTAAGATATCTTGCAGCGACACTCAAAATATCTGCTAGCATCAAGGCCCAGCTCGCTGTACTGCCACCCCCCAACGGCGCTACCCTCTACTTCGTTGCCACACGCCTTCCAAACTGCCTAGCCACTGCGCGCGACCACTTCCTAGGTCTCCAACCTGTTGACCTCACCCTTATCAAGTTTGTCACCACTCCGTTTGCGATAGAGACCCGCCAGCGCGCTTTCGATCAGTCCAGCGATACTGCGGCGGTCCCTATCTTCCAGGGCTGTGCTCCCTCCCAGTGCACTTACTCTGACATGTGTGCCGCTGTCGCTGAGACAACCCCTGCTGCTGAGATCGCCGTGGCCGCCTCAGTGCAGTCGTGCCATGGTAGGGGCCGCCGCCCCAAGGGGGGGCGTGGCGGCGGTGGCGGAGGTGGTGCGAGTTCCGGTGGTGCAGACAAGGGGGCCTGGGTTGATGCCCCGATGCAGCAGCAGGAGCAGCAGCAGAAGTCGCAACCGCAGCAGCAGCAGCAGCAGCCCCTGCAGTAGCTGTAGCAGCAGCAGTCGCAGCAAAAGCAGCCGTGGGAACCTCCGCCGCCGCAGTGGCCTAGCGTCTTTGGTAGTGGCGGTCGCAGTGGCGGCGTGCACAGATTGGCGTTGGGTGGCAGCTCCAATACAGTGACCTGCCAGTACCGACTCCAGACCAGCCCCCGTCGCGGCAGCGTGTGCTATCGTCCCGATCGCACCGCCGCTCGCTGCTACCGCCACCTCGATGACCACTTCAGTCTCCGGTTCGGCCTTGCGCCGGACCTCCCCAGCTGGCACAGCCTGGTACGTTACCGTGTGCCGGTCTTTGAGATGGATATGGATCAGATTAGCTCTGATTTGTATGCCATATATGGTGATGGCTCTAGTGGCATTGGACCCTATTACCCTGTGTTGCCTAGTGTAGGTGTGTCCACTGTGCATAGTCTAGGCTCCCTTGTTGCTTCAGGCGTAGGATCTCCTACTTTGTTTAGCCTAGGCTCCACGCTATTGCCTCCGCCTGCTGATGCTACCGCCGCACTCTCCTTCACGATGGATTTTGGTGCGTCTGCCTGCTTCTTTCGTGACCGCACTACGCTCACGCCGCTTGCCACCCCTACGGCTGTACCGCTTGCTGACCCCTCTCATGTCTGGTAGTTTCTCGTAGCTCCTCCGCTCTTCCCTGTCCGATGGTTCCCTCGGGCTCCCTTACCGGCTTCTACATCCCCTTCGTTCTCCAGGAACATAGTTGGTGTCGGTTGTCTTCAGGACCTCTGTGTCACCACTACGTTCCCTGAACACGAGCAGTAGGCAATCTGTACCGAGGCCGCCACTGGTGCCCCTCTCACCACATTCCCCCGGGACCCGGTGTCTGGCCTGTTCACGCTAGACACCTCGTCTCCCCCAGAGGGGGCGTCCCCCAAGGTGGCTGCGTTTTCCCAGGTCATCGTGGCTTGCTCGTATCGGTCGCTCACTCACCCGTCGCTTCTGTGGCACCACTGCCTAGGTCACCCCACTCTCCCGCATGTGCGTCACATATCCCAGCACGGCCTTGTCTTAGGTCTCCCTGTATCGCCTCCTGCCCTCCCTCCCTCGCCCGCGCCTATGTGCATGCCTTGCGTCGAGGGCCGGCTGCGCCATGCTCCTCACTCCTCGTTTCCCCCCACCACTGCGCCACTTTAGACCCTGCACTTGGACGTTTGGGGCCCAATCCCTCGGGCTGCGTCGCGAGCGCTACTTCCAGGTTCTCGTCGACTACTACACTCGCTACGCCACGATGTTTCCCCTGGAGCAGAAGGCCGACATGCATGACGTTCTTATCCCGTGGGTCGTAGCTGCATTAGTCCACCACGGCCTCCCCGTGCTGCGTCTCCACTCCGACCGTAGTGACGAGTTCACCTCCGGTCGGCTTGGCCAGTTCTGTCGTGCGGAGGGCATCACCCAGACGTACACTCTGCCGGACTCCCCGCAGTTGAATGGGGTCGCTGAGCGACGCATCGGTTTGGTCATGGAGGTGGCTCGTACTTCCATGATCCATGCTGGTGCACCCCATTTTCTGTGGCCGTTCACCAGGGCTTCAGGGTCGGGTTTTGGAAGTTGCAATTTTTTTCAGGGTAATTATTTTCGAAGGTTGAATGATCAGGACTGAAAATTTTCAGAGCTGAAATGATAAGGTTGAACCTTGGCGATTTTTTAGGGTGTGTAGGATTTTAACCTAGCACATTATGTTAGACTGGGCATGTTTTGTCAGGCAAAAAAAAAATCAAGCCTAACTCATCAGGTACATTTTTTAGGTTTTCGATCCTTAGATAGGATCGGACTTCACTGCGTACAATTTGTCACACTACCAGCGTGATTTTGGCCAAGGACCAGTCACGCCCCTCACACCTGCTCCAACTCGTATCAGACTGCCTGCGTGATTTTGGCGAAGGACCAATCACGCCCCTCACATCTGCTCCAGTTCGCATTACCTGCGTCATTTTGCCTATGGTCGCGTCACGCCCCTCACACATGCTCCAGCTCACATCAAACTGCCTGCGTGATTTTGGTGAAGGACCAATCACGCCCCTCACATTTGCTCTAGCTTGCGTCACCTGCGTCATTTTGGCGAAGGACAAGTCATGCCCCTCACAGCTGCTCCAGCTCGCCTTGACAAGTCAGATAGGATTCTGTTTCAGGCTGGAAATCCGTGAAGGCTGATAATTTAGGGTGGCCAAAACAAGAACATACTATATTTCAGGCCTGCTCAAATGAGAACCCCTAAAATTCAGGCCTAGGAAAAATCAAAAGCTGAAAAAACAGGACGACTGTAAAAAAACACCCTGCTATACAGCATTTCAGGGCATTTTGTCCTGACTTCTATAGCCCTGCCGTTCACTGTTCGCTACGGCGCTCACCAGCTTAACCTGTGGCCGCACTCCCAGCGGCCGCAGGTTTTGCCGACCCTCGTTTGGACCAGATCCCCTGGTGACGCTCCTGCGTTCCACGTCTGGGGCTGCCTCGCTCACGTTCGTGCCTCTGGCACGGATAAGCTCACTTCCCGCACTGTCTCTTGTGTCTTCCTTAGCTTCTCCATAGACGCATTTGACTGGCACTTTTACCACCCGCCGTCTCACCGCTTCTTTCACTCTCATGATGTCGCTTTTGATTAGTCTGTCTCCTTCTACACTCGCTTTCCCCACCGAGGTCTCCCGGTTACCCCGCCCCTATTCCTGGTCCCCACTCCCCCGGTAGCCCCCGCTCCTCTCCCTCCCCATCCTGCCCCGTCTGGTGTGTCTCAAAACTCTCCCCTCCTGGCGGTTGTCCCGGTGGAGGAGTCGGCTGACTATGGGCCTCCTATGGCCCAGGTTTCGCCGCCTGTCACCGCCCCTGTGTTTCCTCCTGCGCCGTCGCAGCAGCGGCCGCCGTCGCTGCCACAGCAGCAGCCGTCATTGCCGTAGCAACAGCAACCGCCACCGCAGGGGTCCACGAGCTCTGGGGATGTGGGCGCTGGGAAGGGTGCTGGTGCGTGGAGTGCTGGTTCCGGGGGGTGCTAGTTCTCCCACTCGGGGTGAACGCGGTCGATGGCCGGTGGATCTTCAAGGTGAAGCGCCCTCCTGGAGAGCCGCCAGTGTTCAAGGTGCGCTACATTGCTAGAGGCTTCAGTCAGCGCGAGGGTGTTGACTTCTTTCAGACCTTCACCCTCACTCCAAAGATGACCTCGCTTGGGGCGCTGCTTCATGTAGCAGCACAGCGCAAATACGAGCTCCACTCTCTTGACTTCTCTACAACGTTTCTCCAGGGCAGTCTGCATGAGCAGCTCTACGTACGTCGACCACCGGACATCTCTGGCACTTTCCCTCCTAGGACCGAGTGGCTCCTCCGCCGCCCGGTTTACGGCCTACGTCACGCGCCTCGTGAGTGGCAAGACACGCTGCGTGCTATGTTAGCTGACCTGCAGTTCTTCCCGTCCTCTGCAGACCCTTCGCTCTTCATTCGTTCGGGCCAGATCCCGTTCTACATCCTTGCCTCATATGCCTGATGACTTGCACTCCTCCAAATCTCGCATACCCGCTCAGCATCTTGACTCGCTTTGTGGCGACAGGCAGACACCGACCGTAGCACTGGTCAGCCGCTAGAAGGGTTTTGCGTTATCTAGCAAGTACATTGGGCATGGGGCTAGTGCTGGGAGGACGCAAGCCAGTGGTCCTTACAGGGCACACAGACGCTTCGTGGGCAGACGACGCTGGGAATCTTAGGTCCTCCCAGGTCTTCAGCTTTAGCCTTGGTGCAGGCGCCATCTCTTGGAGGTCCACCTGCTCGTCATCTGTTGCCCAGTCCAGCTGTTTTGCTGAGATCTACGCGGGTGTCATGGCGGCACAGAAGGTCCACTGGCTGGCGTTCTTGCTCACAGACTTAGGCGAACGGCCTAGCTTTGCCCCGGTCCTGTACGCTGACAACAAGGCCATGATCCTCCTGTGTCGGGAGCCGTGACTAGAGGGAAGAGCGAAGCACATCCACCTATGGTACTTCCTCCTGCGCGAGCTACAGCAGCGCCGCCATGCCAGCAGAGTACACTTGGCCTCCAGTGCCAACACAGCTAATATCTTTACTAAGACGCTTGCGCCTGGAGATCATGAGCGGCACTGTGTACAGCTTGGTCTAGTTCTAGTAGCTCCTCACTTGCTAGGACCCTGATTGTGTACTCCTTTTATTATCTTGACTGGCCTTG